AGGTAAAGGTAAAGGTAAAGGCCCTCCTGTTGTTCGTCGATTTGCTCGAGCGGGCCCAGTAACATCTCCATTGGAGACTTTGTTGTTACTGTGTCTGGCATATCGAATACTCTCGGTAGCTTGCCGGGCTCTCCGAGAGGGGCGGAGGAATCGAACTCGGGTCGGCCATGTTGGCTGCGTGCAAGGCAAACGCCCTACCACTACCACAGCGGTAGGGTGTTTACCTTGCATGCTGCCCACAGCAAGAACAAAATAAAAAGGCAGTGTCCCTTTAAAAAAGACATCTGCCCCTAGGAGTGTTGCTGAGGAGTCCCAGCTCTAACCCTTCTCCAGTGTAGCCAGCAGGAGGAAGGGGGAAGGGACAGAGGCCACCCTCCGGCAAAGGAAATAGCCACGCTGCCTGAAATCCATTTAGAAACTGTTTTCCTCCAAATAGGAGCAGCTATTAGTTACCAGGGCAACCAAGAACCCTGGACTTTGTGTTAGCTTTTTTTTCCCTTCCAGCTAAGGCGGGGAAGCTCATTTCTCATTTTGTTGATGCTGGTTCCCATCTCTGGGACCAGAAGGGTTCTACTGGAGTCACTTCCAGATGTCAAAAGTAAACACTTGAGCTCCCCCGAATCTGGTTTCTAGGGGCCAGACTTTTTTTGAGGGGGGTCTCACCGGGAATTTCTCAGGGGTATTCCTGGCTTTGCGCTCAGAAATTGCTCTATGTTGTCCTGGGGGGTCAAATCCAAGTCATCTCCGTGCAAGGCAAATGCTCTACCCATTGTACTCTGACTCCAGCCCTATGGGACCAGATTTCTACAGGCATCCTCTGGCACTTCTTTCTCAGGAAAGACCAGTCTCAGGAAGGTACACAGCTGGTGTCTGGGATGGGTGGGCCTACATCAGACTATGCTAATGTTCTCAGATCAACAAAAAAATATCTTGTTCCCTTACTAGGTGCTAGCGTGGGAACTCCAGGTGGCTCCAGCTCTAGGAGCTCTGTGGGAAAGCTCACAACCAAGCTGTTTGTTAAATGTCACCTGGCACTGATAGAGGGATGGGTGTTGGAACACTGTATGACTGAAACCTAATCATGAGCAGCTTTGGAAGGGTCTATCTCAACAGTGATTCAATACAAAATTCTTTAAAATAAAAAAAATTAAAAATAAATAAACGACACCTGGCCTAGTTAGTCCTCAAGGCTTTGGTCTGTACTGGGCAGCCCTGGGTTATACAACTTCCTTCTCAGTGGTTCATGGAGGTTTTAAATTCTGAGTTTCGATCAGCTGATTTTCACAGATGAAACAGTTCAAATGGAGCGAGTGATCTCCATGTGCCAGGTTCCTCACAGAATGAAGGGAATGGTGGCCCTGTTTCATAGATAGTGAGACTTTTCTCTGCCTTCCCCGCATCCCTTGAGAACAGAGGTTTGTTCAAGGTGACTTTTATGGGGACTCTCTTCATCATCCTTGGCACCCTCCTGAAGTCGGTGGGCCCCCACAGATGGCTTATGTGAGGCGGAGAGGAGAGAGAGACAGTCACTTTCTCCCGATCCACCTCTACCAACTTGGGACTGGCCGGGAAGACTAGAAGTCAGGACAGAGCAAGGATTTGCTCTTTGCAGTAAAGGAGACTCAGTCCTAGGCATTACCCAGGGTTTATAGGCTCTTTCCTTCCTCGCAGAAAGGAAACTGAGGAGTAGACGAGTAGTGAAAGTAAAAACATTTTATTTGGAGGGTTTTTTTGGTTTTGTTTTGTTTTGTTTTTTAGGAAGGGGAAGGAAGGAGAGGAAGTGAGAAAGTAATGCTCAAGGGAGAAGGCAGGTTTCTCCAAAAAGTGGAGAGAGCCTCAGAACACATCTCAGGAGGGGGGATGCGGGTGACACGTGCTCAGGCACCACATGTGCTTGGCCACGTGAGCACCAGCAGCACAAAGGCTCAGGCAGCATATGCATGCCCTTCCTTTGTTCAAGGTAGCTTTTACAGGGACTCTCCAACCTGCCCCCAAGTGAGGATTTCTAGTTAGGTAAGAGCTTGTTGCTAGGGTGATTTCCCCGGGAGGGGGGTTGCCTTGGTCTGGAGTTTCTCTGGCAGAGTTGGGATTCGTTCAGGTATCATAAATCTCCTTCGTGTCCTTAATTGCAGTCTCTGTCTCTGCTGAAGCTTCTGTCTCTGTGGGGTCTAGCCTCCACAAGGTCTATCACTGGTGTGAGGAAGATCTTCTCATGCCTAGGCTTTAATTCTTGCAGCTTCAGTGTTATTGGATTTATTACTTCTCAGAAATTCCATTGCCATGGGCCCTCTTCTATCCACCTGCCTGCTTCACTCTCATTGTCCTCCACTCTCTCCTGCCTTCCTCTTTTGGTCCAATACTTCCTTCTTCCTGGCACGACAGAGGGTTCCTGTGAAATGAACCTTATCACCTTACACTGGGCATGGGGCAAGCCCCTCTTCTGGGTCCCTCATTTGGTTGCTGCAGCCCAGAGAGGCATTTGAGGCAACCACAAAATCTGCCATTTCATTGTGAACCACCATCAACTGAAATCCTCAATTTGTTTGCCACGAGTTTCTGCTAAGCCACATCTTCCCCACCCAGGTTCCGGCAGTTGATTGAAAGATTTCACATGTGGCCTACTAAAGGTTATTTATGCACATCCTTCCAAAACCAGAGATATTAAGGTGGGAGTGGCGAGGGCTTTAAGCTAGGCACCCTAGCGGGCCTATTTATTCACTCACTTCTCCATTCCTGTACCAAAGGGGGGGGGGGCGTTGAGATTCTATTGTGAGAAACCCAATAGTTGTTAGACTAGTAAGAAAGCTATAGCCCAGGCAGAGATGGGACTTTCACAAGGTCCCAGATTAAGTCAGTAGCAGCCCAAAGTGGAATCCAGAACTCTTCTCCCTGTACTGATGGCACTTCGGACTACACGGCTGGCAAGAGGAATGGTACAGTTCTAAGCTATTCATCTTGCATGTGCTTATCCTGGTTCAATCAGCTTCAAGAGGACCCCAAGAGTACAGAGCCAGGAATTATCCCTGAGCATAGTATTGTGTAATCCCCTAACCCAAACAAAAATTCCAAACTAAAAGGTTGGAGCAGGGCTGACCCTGTCTATTTACCTCCTTCCTTGTGCTCTGAGGGGCCATGACACAGTTCAACCTTGCCTATCCCTGTTGGTGGTGGATGAGAAATTCCAGGGGTACAAAGACTATATCTGACCTGAAGCAGAATGGGGAGACCCAGAGCCCATAACCCCACAGCCCTGCTTCTCTCCAAAGGGACAAAGACCCAGAACATGGCCAAGATGAGCCTAGAGCTCCTGGCGGCTTTCCTGGGAAATGATTCTGTCCTACAGTGGAGACAGTGTGGGTTTGGGAGTCCCAACCCATGTTAGACACTTGTAGAATGGAAGACACAGCTCCCTCAACTCTAAAAAGAAATCCTATCACCTGCCCCACCAAGTTGTTAGGCTGAAAGATGATGGTGGAAGTGTCTGGCATATGGTCAGAAAAAAAAGAAAACTAGTGTCTGTCTTTGTTTCTTCATTTCTCTAAAGGAGCAAAGCAAATGTGCCTTTTAATCCGGGCTTCATTTCTCACCAAATTACTAAAAACTAGAAGTGTGTGTTTGGGGGTGGGGGGTGGCGGACAGAACAAGGCAGACCAGGAGGCAACAGAGTGGAGGCAGAGTGCACCAAAATGCCAAACAGCTTACTGGCAGCTACAGGCTAGTGAGAGGCACCTGCCAGCTGCAAATCTTGAATCAGTGACTCTCAAAAAAGCTTCACTTTCCTCATCCATAAGATGAGGGTAAGATAAAATGAGAAAATGAATGTGAATTTCCTGGCACATCATTTCTATCCCAAAGGGGCTCAATGATCCCACATTCTCAGAGGGAAATTCCCATTGACTGATGGGAAATAAGCCAGCCCCAGAAGGAGATTCATTTTCCTTCTTACAAGCAAAAAAAAAAAAGATTTCATTCTTTTAATATATAAAACCAAGACAACTTTCATATGTGATATGACATATTTTGGTTTTGTTCTTTTAAAGATGAAAATGGCAGAAGTATAGACCTGGGTAGAAAAATTACACTCCAGAAGCTGTTTAAGCAGTTAAAAACTCCTAAAATTATGAATAGAATACAAACCTCTAAATAAAGTCTTTTTTCCTTTAAAAATATTCACATTTGGGGCTTGATAGTATGGAGGATAAAGCACTTGCTTTGCACATGGCTGACCCCGGGTTAATGATCCCCAGCATACCATATGGCCCACTTAGCCCGACCAGGAGTGATTCCTGAGCACAGAGCCAGGATTAACCCCTGAGCATCGCTGGGTGTGGCCCAAAAAAACAAAAAATAAAATCAAAAACAAAAAAACCAATATTCACACTCGGTGAGCAATTGTAGACATGCCAAGAAGTATAACTTTTCTTCTAGGCAACAAGGTAACCAATAACCAGAAATGACTTAGTAACTGAAAAATAGGGTTATGGTTCTTAATACTTATTTTCTTACCCTACAGTCTGCAAGGAACAGTGAAATATCGATGGGAGATTCTCTTACGTGAACTGCTCAGGGAATTTCTATTTAAAAAAAAAAACCTCACCAAAACACTTATTGAATACTATAGCACCATCTAGTGCCATAAAGGGGAAGGGCCCTCCCACTTCACCCAGCCAACCTCCCTCCCTCTCTCCATCACTGGTTTGGGGTTTTGGTTTTTGCGTTTGTTTGTTTTTTGTGTATGTGTATGATGCTGTTATATTATTGAGAGTTTTGATAAGAAGTCTGGGCTATTCGCACCCTTATTTAAAAGTGCAGAACTAAATGCCATTTTTCCTGACCCTTCCATTTCCCTCCAAACTTCATCAATACTGGAAGATGGCGTGAGTTTCCAAATCCAGTGACAACAAGGCTTCAGGGTATAGTTGGTTCAGACAAGGTGCCTGGGAAGTACCTGATGCCTCTGAAGTACCCATCTCTACTTGCTCAATAATCCAGAGAGAACGTCTTTACACACCCTTTTGAATTTTATTGAGGAGAAAGCTTTAGCATACAGAAAGTTTATCTTTTTAACACAATAATTCAACAACACCACAATTAACACATTTATTACAAACTGGTCTCCTCCCAAGTTTCTGGGACCCCTTGGACTATTTTTCTACTTCTGCATGCATTACCCTCCCTCTTCCCCTCTTTCAAACCCAAGGAAGTACCCGAAGCCCACCATTCCTTTCACAGCTATTGTGGATATTGTATCACAACAAATATTTAGGATCTGAGAAAAGGGGGAAGGGAGAAGGTCAAAGGGAATTCTAAGACCCCTTGCTACCAGAGGCCCAGAAATCATCTCAGTACTCAAATGTCCTTTCCCTGGCTGAGGCTTCAAGCACTCAGGATGAGAGATACCAGGGGAACAGGCAGGATGTTCTGCTGAAAGGTGTTGGGGATGAGGATGCAAGGAGCCTACAGGGAAGTAGGCAACAGGTCCAGCATATCATCTGTCAGCAGTCAAGGTCCACAGCCTCGAAGAAGAGCAGTTCTGCTTCTGGAACTCTGGAAACTCCTGAGGAATTCACTAAAAAAACAAAGTTTTTTTTCAGTCGGTTGTTTCCTCCTGCACAGGTGGGGCTAGGAGAACATAAGCAACTGAAATGCCCAATGGCTGGGGTCACAGTTTAGTGTTAGAGCTCACACCTTGTATACATGAGGTTCTGGTGGGAGTGGGGGTTGTAGGGCATATGGCAGAAAGGAGAAATATCCAATAAATTAGGAGAAGGCCTAAATAAATAATGCAGCTCACATGACTGCAAAGGTGGCAGCCATTTTAAAAGCCACTGCTTAAGAGCTAGGTCACAGCTTAGAAAAGAGGCAGCAGGAACATGCTGGAAAGACCATCAGCGAATAACCGTGCTTGGCCTGTGTAGTGGAATTCTGAATTTCGGGAGTGGGGTACTTTGAGTTTTCTGTTCTCCACATTTTTATAGTGATTCTGTATTAGTTTTTCTCTTTGGAGGAGGATGGGGAGCCTTTTGTGAGGCAGCAACAGGTTATAGGAACCCAGCTCCAGTAATCCCCAGGCTACAAAATGAGAGGTTCTTTAAGGAGGAGTGAAGAAGGGGAGGGGTGGGAGGGGTCTTCTTACCTTCTGCGGATGAAGAGAGACCTCACCAGAAACCAGCCAGAGGACTGGGCTTGTTCAAGTCTCCTCTTCTTCCAGCTCCATCTTCTTGCCTCCTGGCTCAGAATCCTAAGGCTGAACTAAGGTTATTTGCAGTAAAGAAAACAAAGGCTGCATTTACTCTGTTTTCTTCCCTCTGGCCACAGACACTTTGGCTGCACTTGCCCAGCTGCCAAGCACTGTGCAGGAGGCTCAGTGTTGAGGGCAGTTCAGGCCAGCCACGGGGCTAGTTGATGGTCTGTGGCCAGAGTAACGTGTGTGGGCTTCACTGCAAAAGCAGTGTTTTCTGGACCCAAAGCAGAGCTGAACAGAAGGGTACCTAGATTTGTGCCCCCAAATCTCAGGAGTTATTAGGAGGCATACAGGCCCTCAAGATTTACAGTCTAATCAAAGTCCAGTACCAGGCCTTGCTTATACCCCAAGTGAGAGGTTTGAGGGCCCCCAGGCCTCAGGCTGCAATGGGTGCAGTCTCTGTGGGAGGAACCTTCCTTTCTCCTCTTGGATCTAAGAAATCCTATTGTCTGAGTCAAGGGGCAGCAGTCTAAGTCCTAGCTAGAGCTTGGAGACCACCATCCCTTAGGAAAGAAGAGCTCCACATAATGCCAAATGAGTTGCTGCTGCCCTGCCTCCCTCTCTTCCTCTTTTCCTCCCTACCCCGACCTTTAGGCAACATCAATGAAAAGAGTCACAAGGTTCTGCTCACCCAAGAGGCATGCGAGGGCAGCAAGATAAGAGGAGAGGGTCCCAGATTTGGCAAGCCAGTTCAAGGGCCCTGATCCTGGAATCTGTGGGAAAGCGGAACCTGCTGGCAGTCAGTCAAGGACAAATCCCAGTCAGTTGTCCACTCGACAGCTGGCCTTGCACATTCTCACTGGGCTAGAGGTGGGGTCCTCTTCAAGGCCCCTCTGCTATGGGTGGGACTTGAAGCAAGTGGAGGCTTTTGGGCACTTTCTTGATACCATCCTACTCTCCATTCATTACATCTAGTAAGTGGCCTCAGTGGCTCTAGGAAATGTTCAGAGTGGCCAGTCTTTTTGCTCACTGGGGCAGATCAGTGGGGCACTGGATGAAGTCTTAATGAGCCAATCAGAGGATTAAACCATAAAACACAAGATGAATAAGCACAGGAAGGGTTAAGGTGAGGGTTAAGAACAACTAGAAGAGAAATGCAACAAGCTGACCAGTTCATTTATAGAAACTGACGCAAAAAACCTGCTCTCTCCCTGCACCTGGACTGAGCCAAGGGCACCGCACATTAAGGGCTCAGCTATTGCTGATGCCTCCCCTTTCCCATATGGCCATCTATGGTGGCCATGACTACCAGGTGGTGTGGTGTTCTCCGGGTCTTCCGATTCTGCAGGTGTGGAACTCTCTTAAGTACTGGTCAGATAATGGAGCAGGTGTGGCAGCAATAGCAGGGGTGGGGGGACTACAAGGGTGTGTTCCGGGTGACTGTCTCACACACGAATTCGGCCCCTTGAAGCTCGGTGACCCCCCTGTCTGGGGGTGAGGCGGAAGAGCACCGGGGGACGTCTTCGGGTTTGGCGATGGCCTAGGCGACCTGCACGGCGGATGAGTGGTGGTGAGCTGTAGAATGGTGAATTCACACCTGGAAGGCCCTCCAGAAGTGGGACGCGATTCTGATTCCTTCGTCTGCTGGACTGAATGACGGGAGGCGAGATATCCAGGAAGTTTTCATGGTAGAAATCAGTCGTCTGGGACTCGTGGTAGTAGTCAGCCGTCTGGGACTCTTGGTAGAAGTCAGTAGTCTGGGACGAGGCATTGGCATAGGTCGGTGGCATCTCCATCATCTCTTCTAGGTAATCATCTTGGGTCTCATCCTCTGACTCTTCCTCTAGTTCTGGCTCCTGCTCTACCTCCCGGCGCCTAACAGGCATAAGATTTGCTCCCAGCCTGTTATTCTCCTCTTCATCCTCACTGTTAATGATCTCCACATCCACCTCCTCATCTTCATCACATTCCTCCAGGTATACTTCCTCAGTCTCGTATTCCACCTCCTCCTCTTTCTGTCTCATCTCCATCTCCTTTCTCACCTCTTCCTCCTTCCTCATTTCTGCCTCCTCCTCCTCCAATTCTTGCTCACCAACTCTCACACTCCTCTGCTGGTCACTCTGGGGGAGCCTGTCCCTATGCCCCCCTGCATCTTCATCCTCACCATGGCCCTCTCCTTCCTCATTATCATTAGACTCTGCAGAAAAAGGGAAGAAGACTTTGCGAACCCCGGGCAGTGGTGCTGGCTTGGGTATGCGCACTTTTCTTTCTATCTCCACGCATTCTAGAATCAGCTCGTCTAGGTCAGCCATGTCTGTTGACCAGACGAGCTCCTTCCGGATAAATTCTGACAGGCCTCTGAGAAACTGAGTTTGAAGGCGGCAGTCATCCCAAGACAAGAACTGGGCCAGGAACTGAAAAGCATCTGCATAGCTTCCCAGGGTACAGTTGCCCTGCTTGAGCTTGCGGATGGTCTTTTTAGCCACATTGGGGGGGATGGGGCCACAGAATTCCTTCCGGATCTCATCCAAGAAGCGCGGGAAGTTGGTACGAAGGGAGCTTCCCTCCTGGGTGACTGAGACGGCCCAGTCCTTAGCTCTACCAGCGAAAAAGGAGATCAGGAAGGCCACCCGCTCAGCACCCCCCGAGAAATGATCCTCGTGGTGGGCTATGAAGGTCTCGAGCTGCATCAGGAACTCGGCCAGGTAGACGGGGTCTCCTGAAAAGGGCTCTATCTCAGGCCGCTCCAATGGGGGCAGAGGAGGCGGCGGGGCCGGGTCCCTCCCCCCGGACAGGGACAGGGGCTGTGCCTGCGGGGGCAGCGGCGCAGACCCATCGGACTCGGACTCGGACTCGGACTCGCCGCCGTCGGGTGACGGGGCGATCCCGCTCATCAGCTGTTCATCAGGGGCGTTCTCCTCATCGGACTCCGCGCTTCCGGGCGGATAGAACAGGATGGTCGCTTCTCCCTCCAGGACAGCGTCCACCTCGTCGAGCGGGAACTCAAGGTTCTCCTCCTCGGCAAGGACGGGCCCCAAGGGCACTGGCCAGCGGATGTAGCTCGAGACATTGCCCCGCAAGGAATTCACCTCGGCCAGGGCTCTTCCGAGCTGCAGGCCCAAATTGGCATTCTCCCCGCGGAGGGCATTTAACTCATCTCTCAGAGCAAAATTCGCCATGCGGAGATTATTGAGGTTTCCAGTCGACTCGGACATCAGGTCTAGCCCGAGGGCTGGGTCCACTGGTGAGGGTGGGGGTGGGGCGGGAGCTGGGGACCGCGGGAGCAGGCCGGGCCACACCCACCCGGGCGAGCACTGGGGGAGCTTTACCTCGTGCTGCAGATCGGAGGCGGCTGGCAGCTGCCCGGGCCGGGGGCGCGCCCCGGAAGGACCCGGCCGGGGCACGCGGGCAAAGCGGCGGTGGCGGACACAGGCGGGTGAAGGTGGGTTGAACGGGAAGGAGCGGACTGCGGCAGGATCTGTCGAGGAAAAATCGGGCCGCTGCCGAGTCCCCGCTTTTTATGCGCCGCCTGGCACCGGCCCGCCCCCGCCCCCGCCCCCTGCCCGCCGGGGGCGGGGCTCGGGGAACCGCGGTCGTCCATTGGCTACCAAGCAGCACGCCCCTCCCCTCGCCCGCGCCGCTCACTGACTCTCTCCTTCCCTAGCTGCAGCTAACTCGGGTCGGGAAAATGCGACAGCGACTGCCCACTCGAGGTCGTCATGGCGACAGCCAGTGAACGTGTTCCTCTCCCCAGGCAGGCCCCCGAGTGTAGAGGAGCTGCTTCGCGAGGCACAGCTCAATCTCCAGAGCCTGTTGCAAGGTACTGAGAGGGAGGGGGGCCGCGGCTGGAGTCCACAGGTGAGGAGGCAAAGACCAAAGACGACTGGGAGCTGCGAGAGCAATAGAGAATCCTTGCAAGCCTACTGAAAAGCAAAGCACACATTTTCCGTCTTTCACCTGGAAAGCTAATTCTAAAGCTAGCTGACCACCCACACCCCCTTTTTAGTAGTTGCAGTGGGGCGGTGGAGGGGACGGAGACTGAGGCTGGCCTGTGGATCAAACCATTCCCAAAGAGAACCTGGATGCGAGGCCCCCTCCTTGAGACCCCACATCTCTCCCAAGCCTTCTCTTCCCACCTCACCCACGTCTTGGGAATCCTGGCACCACTTATGTCCTAACAAAGGAAACCTCTGCAGGGTGCCCCATTCGGCCTTCACTCTCTCTGCTCTTGCAGTCACTTTGCCCACAATGTTTCCTAGGTATCTTCTGCCTCACCAAAGTAAGCCCAACATGCCCTACCCAGTACTCATCTCCAGGAGTCCCAGCCTGGCTTTTTGAGTTGACTGATGAGACACGGTGCACAAAGATTGCTCCAGAGGATCTGAGGAGAAACAGACCAGTTCTAGTGCCTGAGCAGTCAGACTGCACACACACTGCCCAGGGAGAAAACTCCGGCTTTGAAATTGGACAAAGCTAGACTCTACTTTGAATCCCACACCTAACTTGCTGTGTGACATTATGCAGATTACTCAACCTCTCTGAACTTGGGACCTACCAATCACTCCCAATGCCTCCACGTGGCACCCTTTTGTGTGCATTTAAAACAGAGTGTACAGTAAATAGCTTCACAAAAGTATCCTGTACCTGGAGAGACTCTGATAAGTCGCAACATCAGCTCTCAGTCTATGTCCTTTGGAACCTGACCCTAATTGGCACAATATTAAAGATGAAGTAAAAGAAACCAGTGTGGTTCCTGACAGGAGCTTATAATATAAATATCGTACACAGTGGTAGAGGGCACAGGATGTTCCATCCCTAATACCCCCCAAAATGCACACTGACCAGACAGATGTATCCCATGGGACAAAAGATTTATCCCATGTGAGAGACCAGTAAGCTGCTGCAAAAATCTGGATCAAGGGTACAAGGAGGCTATGTCAAAATTCACTGGACTGTGCTCTTAAGATGTGTGCTCTGTACTGCTGTACTACAGGAAAGTTTTGCCTCAATAAAATAACACAGTTACAGTCTCAGTGCTTGTCCCAAGCTCCATATACCCACAGGTACTCAATGCCTAAATCAGGCCTCTTTCCCAAGCTTAGAAGCCCTTCCTTCCTCTTTGCTCCGATCCTTAGACTTTCTTCAAAGTTCTATTTGAAGAAACAGAACTATTGGCTATTGCCTCAGCCCACTGCTGTCCCCATTCCGTAGAACAAACTGCATTCATTCTGCTCTTTGCATCTTTCCCTCCACAATCCTTTGCATGAGACACGTGGCATCATCCAGTTCAAGGGGGCATAAATAGTTCTGAACTGCTTTTCCTTTCCTTGGTTTTCCTACTCCTACTAGTCATCACCTCATGAGCTAGTCCAGGAGATGATATAGTTTGTGCACTTAGCTATACTGTTTATGAAAGTAAAGAATCTCATTCTGGGGAATGGAGAGATAGTACAGCAAGTAAGATATTTTCCTTGCAGGCAGCAGCCCCGAGTTTGATCCCGAGCACCCCGTATGGTCCCCCTGAGCACCATCAGGAGTAATCTCTGAAGGCAGAGCCAGGAGTAACCCCTGAGCATCACAGGGTGTGGCCCAAAAGCCAAACCAAGGAAAGAATCTCATGTCTTTACTACCCTTGGGTTTCCAGAACACCTGGTACAGAGCTGGGTGCCCAAGAGGTGTACCCAAAAGACATGATGAGAGAATGTAAAAAATGTGAACACAGGCCTTACAAGGTTTCATTTGGCCATATCAACAAAGGGGAACTCTTTCTGGGAAGAGAAATCTGAACAGGGGCCATCCAACTGGATGGCAGTCATAATCCCCACCTCTTCGACAGGCCAGTGGTAGCCTGAGGCATGATTCAAAGGACAACATGAGCCTTGTGTTCTGATAGCTGAGGAGTTATTGTACAGATAGAAAGGTCAGCATACACTGTGCTGCCAATATGAGCAGGATTAGAACCTGGAGGATGCAGATTTTACATCAAGATAAGCTGACAAGAACTTTGCTGATATGCCTGACAGCTCCACTGCCCTTGGGCAGAAGGAGCTGCCTTGGGAGGAAAGTTGTTCCCCCTCCCCCACTTCTGCTGAAACTGAAGAAGCATTCAAAAGTGTTGCTGAGGAGTGTGTCTAAGCACAGAATCGGTTATGATTCCAGATAAACTTCAAGGTCTCTTTTGCTCTATGCTTCTTGAAGCCTTAATTCAAGTGTGCCTAGAACTCTGCCTGTTGTTTCTTTACTCTCACACCATTAACTCCTCAAATTCATTATTTGAATAAAGTTGTTCATATCTTAAGCACCCTACTTCTTCCCTGATGATGCCATTGGACTTTTCCCCTCCTATACCACTTTATCCATCTTTCATTTTTTTCCCCAGTTTAAACCTCTTTAGACCTGATGTCTCTCATAGTGAAACTAAGGCATAGGAAACTGGGCCCTCAAAGGCTCAAGTATGAGTTCTTGGCATCCAAGAGAACACTCCAGATAAGACTTCCCAGTGCAATATCTTCCTGTTTCATGCCGCTCCTTTCCCCGGTGGGGCTGCAGAAGAGCTATGGGCTTTGAGGGAGAAATAGGATCCTACAGAATCAGGTAGCCAATGGCATCTGCACCCCATACCTCATCCAGTTGAGCACAAATGCTCATAAATGGTGGCAGCCACATTGTGGTTTCAGCAGTACCATGGGAACTTACTGGCCCTGTTTTCTCCTTACCCTCACAGTCCTAGATTCTAGGCATTATTAGGTATTTCTCCATGTCTAATCCAGAGGGTCAGGCACCCAAAAACATCCTAAAGAAACTATGTAAGTCAGACGTGGAGCTAGAGCAAAAGCCTGGGCACATGGTCCTTTCCCAGCCCAGTGTTTAGCCATGGAACCCTAGAGTGTATCCACTGTGCTATTTTTCAGAAGAATATGAGGAACAGTATTTGGAGGCCAGACATCTGGGGCAGACCTTCCGCTCTGCTGATGAGGTCCCTGAGCCCACCCCCAGCCCAAGGCCCCAGTCTGCCAAGCGTCTGGAGTTTGTGCTGATGGTGAGTTGCTTCCTCCCTGACCTGGGACAGCCAGCATGCAAAGCTTGTCCTGCATCCATTGGTAGAGGACCTTGAGTTGCCTTAACTTACAAACTGGAAGCTGCTGCTCACCTCTTCCTGCAAGCACAGCTACCCTGAGGCCCAGGAACTATCAGCCTGGCAGCCTGTTCACGCTTTGCTGCCTCCCAGATTGAAGCCTCCAACACCCCCTCCACCACCATCACCAAACCACCATGCTCTGGGCATACCTTGTCTCCAGCTGGGAGTACACCTTTCCCATCACCTTCTTTCCCAACAGCCTACAAAACTGCAACTGAGCGAGGATGAGACTACAACCCAGGGCGTGAGGGCTTCTGAGGTCTCCCTGAGCCTGTGCACCACGTCCAGCAAGCAAGCTGCCTGGAATAGTCCCTTCCCTCTGCCCATCCTAGAGGAGAAGTGGTGGCTCCAGCCTTGCTCCACGCACTCTGATATTGTGCCCATCAACATCTCTGGTAGAGTTACTTAGCACCACCTCTGTCTGCTTCCCTCCATGCCAACTACAGACCATCTTCTTCCAAATGCACTGGGGTGCTGGGGGAGGGAGAGTGATTTTCTCTGCTGCTGGTTCATTTGTGCTGTCGAGGTCATGGCTTTCACTGGGGAATGGAGGCCTGCTGTTCCTTCACTCCATACTGGCATTGTTCCCATGACTGAGGTGATTTGATAGCAAACAAAATTCTCTTCATAGGAACAGCCAAAGCTTTACCAATTTGTCTGCTCTTCAGGGCATCAATAGATGCAAAGTTTATGAGTTCTGTTTCGTTAGGGGAAATAAAATTCTAGCTTCCAGAAGGCAGGTTTACTTTATACAGAAGTTTAAGTGGAATGTGTTGGGGCTCAGAGGGTGGAAAAAAGGAAGACTCATACTCAGGGCACAGAACCAAGGATTTGTTGTACTTTAAGTAAATGTGTTTTTAGTGAGGTGGCCTCCTCAACATTGGTGGCTTGTGTTTAAGAAGGGAAGTAATGAAGAGGGATTAAGGCCAAAAGGCCAAAGACCAAAAGGGAACTCAATGTTAGATTGAGAAGGGGCGAAGGAGGGGATGATGTATATAATCCAGCTGACTGTGACTTTGGTATCATACAGCACCCTAGACCACACCCATTACTTAATCATGCTCTATACCCCATGAGGTCTAAGTGGAAGAGGAGGAGGATGCAGTATTTCCAGAGAAGTAAGGACCATTTACTGATACAGTTAAGGCCTTCTAAGCTAAAAGGAGCAGAGGTACCCTGTGAGTCAGCACCAGCCTCTGTTGTGCTGGGAAAAGGTGATGGAGATGATGAGGGCAGTTCTGGCTCCCATGGTGATGATTTCTGGATTTGGGGGTCATGCACTGCCACTGACACCATGTGAGGGAAGAGAAGCCGTGCTTGGGATGAGGTACCAAGAAGAGTGAGGGCCCAGAAAAGAGTCTCACAAAGTGATGGTGGATGCAGTATTTCTAAACTCTCTCCATCTCAATGAAACTTGACCTGGGGTTAGCCCAAGGAGCCATTTGCTGGAAAGTTGGGGCATTGAGAGGGGATGTCTATATGGAGTACCTATGGAGCTGTGGGGCTGAGACAGGAGGGTGTGGTTATCTTCAAATGGGACATATCTCACCCTCACTGCACTGTCTCACCCTACAGCTGCCTCCATGTCAAACAAGCAAGGACTAAGGATTGTTTTCAGGGGAAATAGATCTTGGTCAGCACACAAGGAAATATGTGGCCTTAGTAGTTTAGAACATGCCGAGCATGCATTAGGCCCCAGGTTGGATGCCCAGTACCACATAGGCTCCCGGCAAAGCTAGTTAGGCCCCCTACTTATAACAATAAAATTAAAATAAATAAAAACCTGATCACCATGCAGTAGCAGACTTAAATGAAATGTGACCAAGTGCATTGAGGACAGATGATCAGGCTGCTTCTTGGATAGTCTGTCCAGGGATAAGACAGTTTCTCAGAGACACTGTAATCACTGTTGCCCTTGCAGGCTTAAAGAAAAGGTTACAATCAAGCCCCATCTGTCTCTAGTTGTCTCTCTACATCAGTGATTGGCACCCATTGGTGTCCCTCTAAATCATCATCTGGGAGTTCAAGAAAACTGCTCCTACCTGGGCTCTACTCCCAGAGATTTCAATGCTCTAGAGTGGGGTCCTAGTATTGAAGTTTCAAAATCTGCCTAGTTTATTTCAGAATGTAGCCAGACTTGCAAATATGGCTCTCACCTGAGACTCACAAGTGGCCCTGGACATGACTTCTGAGCTCTAGCATGTATGCCTGGTAGAGATGGGGGCCTGAGGCCAAGTTGGAGAGAGATGGGGGAAAGGCCACCTGCCATGCTGCTCTTCATACTCATTGCTATTGCCATCATCCCTTTGCTCAGCCTCCGATCCAATTTTTAGTATATGCTCAACATAAACCAGGATGCACCCAAGTGTTTTTATTTTGGCTACAGGGCAGCAGTTTGATAAACATGCAAGTTTGCGACACTCGTTGTTTAATACAGAAACAGCTGTGAACCCCAAATCTACCCTGAGACGGAGGCGGACCATTATTGGATTCTCTAACTTTGCTCAGCGAGACCAAGGTGACCCCACCACAACAGATTCCCAGACCCTCCCTCCTTACTCCCATCAATCACACTTCCCATATGGGAATGGGGTGCCAGGGAAAAGGAATAATTTGGGAGGGGGTGGTGCGTTGGTATCCTTAAGAAGTCAATGTGGTCATTAAAGACCTTTTGTCAAGGTCAGCGACAGAAAGTAGAGTACTGCTCTCCCAGGCTGAGAAATTTATTATATAATTATTTCCCACTATAGAAGGAATATGATTATATCGAATGTAGGCAAATAGACAATGGGGGGAGGAAAGGGTCATTGCTAAAAGTGCCATACACTATTACTGCCATCGAAAGAACACAGACCAAGAAGAAGTGGAGGTTAGTAAGGTGGCATCCCTGGTTACTAATAATGAAGCGTTAATTAAGTTATAGCCCCTCTAAGACTCAGCTAACTCAGTAGAGTTGTGAAGATTAGATTTATTGTATATAATTTGCTTACCATGTGCCTGGTACATTGTAGGAATTTGACAGATGGTGTCTGTTATTATAAAAGCCATCATAATAGTAATAAAAGAGTAATAATCTCTGTTGTATCTTTAAGAAAATCTTTGGGTAGGATACATGTTACTGTGGTATGTTTATGTAGTTATTTTCTTTGAAGAAGAAAATATATGAATTGGGGCCAGAGCGATAGTACAGCGAGTAGGGCGTTTGCCTTGCATGTGGCCAACTTGGGTTCGATCTCTGGCATCTCATATGGTCCCCCAGAACTGCCAGGAATAATTCCTTAGTACAGAGCCAGGAGTAACCCCTTAGCATTTCTGGGTGTGACCCAAAGAGCCAAAAAATGAAAATATATGAATCAAGAATAATTATTTTCTTGTGTGTTTGTTCTTCTTCTGGTAAGGCATTGGTCTTAGTGTCAAGTCTTGGCCTGTTTAAAATCCTATCAAATTTTCTTAGACTTTTAAGCATTAAAATAAGCAATTTCACAAATATTAAAAAAGAATAATTTTTTAATCATTTGGGATTTTGAACATCTGAATGCTCACCTCACATCTATAGGTTATCTTAACTCTCTTATTTTGCAAAGCTTAAAGTGACAAGTGACAAAATGCAATCAGACTTTGAACTTCCCGGCTATGGAATTCTTCATATTCAGTGCTTTTGCTGAAAGCCATGAAGTACTGTCCTTTATCAGAAGGGGTGAATGTTGAGATCTGTGATCATTTCATAAGCCTGGAGTGAAATCAGGGAAAAACCACAAAGTGGTTCCACATGCCACTTCAGTTCCCCCACAAAATTATCAGAACTGGAAAGTCTTCAGCAGCCATAGGGACAATTTCAGGGAACCCTGTGACTTACTGTGTGATAAAAGGCAAGGGCCCTACTCCCCCAGCATCTTCACCCATAGAACGGAAGAACCAAGGAATCCTGACCACACTGTTGGCAGCATTTGGTGTTCCTGTCTCAACTACTGCCAATCTGGTTGTCTCACTAACATTTTTTATTTGTCTCTTCTAGGTCACAATAACAGCTCAGCAGGTAGTGTGGCCCACTATACTGCTTCAAACATCAGGCCCAGTCGTTCAGTTCCAGAAGATGTTCATGGAAGAGTTGCAGTTGGTCAGGAAGCTGGATTCCCAACTCTCACCTTGCCAGCACTGAGCAATCCTTCTAGTGATCCAGAAGCGTCTCTCCAAGCCCCCTGTGGGACAAACCCTCCCAGCATGGAAAGCATAGGAATGGTGTACAGCATACCTAGTTCTTGCAACGGACCAACCGAGTCAACATTCTCCAGTTCATGGAAGGGAGATGCTTTTACCTATATGACACCAAGTGCCACCAGCCAGAACAATCAAGTTACTGAAAATGGGGGAAATCCTTCCTCTGGAAATTCTTGGGTCTCTTTGCACACGCTGCCTCCTCTAATTCCAAAGGAGGCTGCCAACCTCTTTGCCACTCATGAAAACCTCGCAGGAGGTAGTGGGTTATCTAGCTACTCTGAGCAACCTACTCAGCGAAGACAAGCTTCAGAACGACCATCAAAGCCTGGCCTTCTGACAGGAGGTATCCCAAGGCTGGAAACAGGCCCAGGTGGGGCTAACAGATTCCGGGAACGGTCACTGTCTGTGCCCATAGACTCGGGCACCACAGACGTGGACTGTGATGAAAATCAGAAGTCCAGTGAAGCATGTGTCCTGCCTTCTGCCAGCACAGGTTCTGAGGGCAGTAAGAGTGCCGATAATATCACCTCCCTTAGTTCCCAACACGAAGCCCAGCATCGAAGACAGAGATCCAAAAGTATCTCACTCAAGAAGGCCAAAAAGAAGCCCTCTCCACCAACACGCAGTGTCTCACTGGTCAAAGATGAACCTGTCCTCTTGCCAGAAGGTGAGTCATCAGTTGCCAAGGACCAGAGACCAAGGAGCCTTTGCCTCTCTTTAGAACACCAAGGCCGTCACTCATCACACCCAGATGCTCAGGGTTGCTCAGCTGTGCCCACCTTCAAAGATACAGAAGGTACACATTTCTCTCACCACTGGTATCTCACTGACTGGAAGTCTGGTGACACCTATCAGTCCTTGTCCAGTTCTAGCACTGCTACTGGCACCACAGTCATTGAGTGCACCCAGGTTCAGGGCAGCTCGGAGTCTCTGGCCTCCCCTTCCACTTCCAGAGCCACAACACCTTCGCAAATCTCCATTGAGGTAGAAGCCAGGGAGGTGTCCTCTCCAGGAAGGCCTACTGGGCTGATGTCACCCTCCAGTGGATACTCTAGTCAGTCTGAGACACCAACACCCACTGTCTCCATGGCCTTGACTCTTGGCCACTTGCCCCCTGCAAGCAGCAATGTCCGGGTGCGTCCAGTTGTACCTGAAAGGAAGTCCTCACTTCCCCCAACATCCCCAGTGGAGAAAATGTCCAAGTCGCGGCTATCATTTGACCTACCATTGACCTCTTCAGCCAACCTGGACCTGTCTGGAATGAATATCTCCATCCGAAGCAAAACCAAGGTGAGCCGACATCACTCAGAGACAAATTTGGGGGCCAAACTGGCCCAGAAAACGAGTCCCAACCAACCAATCATGCCCATGGTTACTCAGTCAGACCTCCGTTCTGTTCGCCTGAGGTCAGTCAGCAAATCGGAGCCAGAAGATGACATTGAGAGCCCTGACTATGCTGAGGAACCTGGAACAGAAGTCTTTACCTTGCCCGAGAGAAAACTAAAACCTCCCATAGCTGAGAAGCCCTTGCTGATCCGAAGGCCTCTGAGCTTGGTCCACAAGCCACCATCTCTCCCTGAAGGTTACCCACTAACTTCTCCTCCCTTGACTATGACCCCTAAGAGCTCAATTCAACATATAAGGCCACTCCCTCAAGATATCTATATGGTGGTTCGGAAACCAAAGTCCCCCAACATTCCTGAGGGTAAGAGTCCAGGGGAGTCAAGAGCATCCTCATCTCATGTGTTCACGCCTTTTGCCAGTTCCACTGGTGCTTTCTTCTCAGGAACACAGCAACTTCCCCAAGGAAGTAGGGAGGATGAGGGGCCCAAAGTGAGAACCCTGCCTGAAAGAATTAACCTCCAGAGTCAGGAAGAAGCTGAGAAAAAGAAAAGCAAGATTCCACCTCCTGTCCCCAAAAAGCCCAGCGTGCTGTACCTGCCTCTCACTTCCCCTCCAGCACAAATTGAAGCCTACATGGTTGAGTCAAGGCTGCCTCTCAGCCCCATCATCACTCTGGAGGAAGAGGCCAAGTGTCTACCTTCTGGCAACCACCTGCAATCCCCTCCTGCAAGGACAACTTTAACACCACAGACTGATGACGAAAGGGATGCAAGCCCTCTGGGTAAATAAAACTTCCTGCTGGCTTTTTCCTCTTAGGCATGGTTGAGGTGAGAGTAAGAGCAGAATACCAGAGCAAAAGCAAAACAATTGCCCCAAAATAATGATCCTGTCCCAGGATGAGTCAGAAGTGAGCACCTCATAAGGGTTTGGGTTATTCTAAACAGGCCTAACCAGCCTTGGAATCAGGATTCATTCAAGGCATGATTTATGCCACACAGTTCTTTTAGAGCAACCCCTTTATCCCCACCCAGGGCTAAGATTATGAAACCAAACTTATCCTAGGGTGCTTAAAAACCCACCTTCCTGGTTAGGAATTCCTCCCCTTTCAACTACCAGCATTGAATTTAGTTTCATTACATGGGGTTCAGTACCTTTCCAGAATAAATTTAAGTACTGTGACAGGCTTCTGAAACAAGGGGATAATATTTAAACACCAACAGCATTTCTTAGTGCTTTCTAGATGAAAAGAAACTCACTTTTCTTAATTGGTTAAGACTAGCTCTTCTAGGAAACCGGAATGATAATACAGTGGGTAGGGCACTTGCCTTGCACACAGCTGACCAGGTTCAATCTCCAGCATCCCATATGGCCCCCAGAACTCCACCAGGAGTGATCCCTGAGAGAAGAGCTAGGAAGAAACTCTAAGAACATCTGGCAGTCCCCTGCCCCACAAAAAACCAGCTCTTACTGGCATCATAAGACAAGACGGGATGGTGTTTCATTTAACCCCTTTATTTGGGCTGTGGTAAAATACACATGAGAGAAAACTTACCATCTAAACTACATTTAAGTGTCCAGTTTAGTAGTGTTGTGCACTTTCACAGGGTTATGCAACCACATCTATCTCCAGAATGCTCTTAATCTTACAAAGTTGAAGTTCACGCCCATTAAACAAAAAATCCCCATCACCCCTGGCAACCACCCTTCTTTTTCTGTTGCTATGGGTTTTATTCTACTGAAAACTTTGTATTAAGTGGACTCCTATGGTATTTGTCTTTTGGTCACTGGCATATTTCACAGTGTGTCCTCAATTTTTATGCATGAGTCTCATTCTTTTCTGACACTTAATATCAAATGGCAGAGTCTTATGGCCTTTATTAAGCTGATTCAATGTCGTCCTTTGTGACTAACACATGCAAACAAATTGTAGCCACAGGAAAATTTATAACCAGTTTTCTCAACCTCCACAGGCTCCCTCTGAGATTCAGATAGGTCCCACTCAGGGCCAGAGAGATAGTACAGGGATTAGTGGACTTGCCTTGCAAGCACCTGACTGGGTTTCAATCCCCAGCATCACATATGGTCCCCTGAGCATTGCCAGTAATGATCCTTGAATACAGAGCCAGGACTAAGCCCTAAACATAGCCACGGAAGTACAGCATGACCACTGCACCAAAAAAGTAAAGAATAAACATATAGATCCCACTCAGGTTCTGGTTGATTCATGGCTTTAGATTATTCTCAGTGCCTTCGTTTTACAAATGGATACACTGAAAAACACAAGAATGCCCAGATGAACATAAGAAAAGAGGAACCCAGGGCAGTCATCTCTACTCACTCCACCATAGCCAAATCATTAACTGCCATGTTCCTTGACAAAATGGAGGAACAAAGGACTTCCAGCTCCCGCTGCCCTTCCAGAGTGGCTTTGAATATCCAGGAAAATAATATGAGACTGTGTTTTGTCCTAATTATTGTGATCAAAGCCATTCCCTCTGGTTTTCATGCATAGGTAATTCTATGGAGTCAAGCTCAGAAGAAAAAAGTTTAATCAGTGATAAAACAGCTGAATGGATTGTGGAAGATGATGATGAGGTGTTTGTGGCTTCACGTACAACTGAAGATTTATTTACTGTGATACACAGGTATGGGTCTATTTCCTTAATTCCTACTGTAATTGCCTGCCTTTTTATACTGAAAAAAAAAAAACCCTGCTACCTCCAAACAGCCTTTAGAATTGAACTGGATCCTAATTCAGATATACACGTATGTAAGCTCAGTCCAGAGCTTCACATCTCCAATTTACTGACATCTCTGAGTGAAGTGGAGGAGGGGCCGGAAGGGAGGACCAGGTGCCCAGTGAGAGGCCCCTTGTCTCCTAGCAACCGGGAGGCCTATTGCAGCTCCTTTTGCTCTCTTGAAGCTCTGTCTACAGTCAGAGACAATTAACCCTTCACAGAATTCCCTGTGTGAGAATATCTTATCAAGAAGCGAAGTGGGGCTCTAGGGACAGTAACAATGCAGGAACTAAGAAAATGGAGGTCAGATGGGAGCCCAATTATTGGTAGGAGCACAGCGTAGGGGCTCAGTGACAAAGAAACTCCTAAGAGCCCTGTTATTGGAGCTGCAGCACCAGTTTCAAGCATGGTCAGCTCCCAGACTGTCTTGATTTAAAAGCATTGAGCTACTAGCCTTTACTCCTAAAATTCTTTCATAATCCCATAACCTGAGCATATCGAGCCTAAGATCAGCTGGGGGTACTAAAAAGTATGTATACGGACAGGATGCCAGACAAGGGACTCTGACGACTTAGGGGTGAAAGAGAAAGCTAGTGTGGACATGCTCCTATCACTTTACTCGCTTTCATCAAGTTATATGAAGTCTTAATAAATGTCTGCCACCCGAGTTTGCTCAAAGCAAGTTTCTCTTACGTAGGTCCAAAAGAAAGTTGCTGGGCTGGAAGGAGCCCGGGGAGGCCTTTACTGGCAGCAAGCCAAGCTCCCACTCACCAATCAGGAACATAGAGGATGCACCCACCACTGAGCAAACTGCCTCTGCGGGGTCAAGCAGCGGTGCCAGCTTAGATGCTGGCAGAAATGATGATTTCAAGGCTTTGCTGCAGAAGAAGGGAAGCAAGACAACTCCAAGGTCTCGCCCCTCGGCAGCAGAACTGCTGAAGACCACTAATCCACTGGCTCGGCGAATTATTGCACAATTTTCAAAAGACTACAAAACCACAGATAACCCCAATACTTAAGCTCTCCGGGTTCCAGCAAGCAGGGTTTACTTACTAAACTTGAGTAGAGAAGGGAGAAGAGAAAGGGGTTTAAAAGAACTTTCGAAATCACTAGAAAGGCTACATTTATTTTACATTAAGTTTTACTTGGACAGAGAAGGCCACCTCATCTAGTACTGAACTCACCAGGCACTTTAATCATCTTCAGACATTTTACATTTTCATATTTAGAGTCTTGCCATTGCTGACTACCATTTTCCTCCTCCTTTTCCTCTTCTCTGCCTCCTCCTATTCCTCTTCCTTCTTCTTCTATGACTTCTGCTACTTTTTTCTACTTCTCCTTCTTTGGCACCAGAGATCACAAAGCTGCGAGTCTGCTAGGTTCAAACAGCAGAACTGCAGTGATTACAATGAACATATAGGATACCTGGGAGTTGAACTCATGATCACATAGATTGCAAGGAAACTACTGCAAAACCCTGAGCCCCCACTCCCTGCCCTCCCTCCAGGTCTGTTTTATTCTTCCCTCCCCACCCCCCACCAGTGGTGTGCACTGAGAAGAAATTCTCAGATACCACAGCACACGTGATGACTTTCCAGTGAGGCTGCTCCATACACCGAGGGAAGGAGTGTGAGAGCGGATTGGGGCTGCCAAACCTGGAAGGCCTAGGGTGCCCATGCTGATTATTCACACTGCCAGTGGAAACTTGGTGGCCCTGTGTGGAGGTATAGAGAGACTTGGATGCCTCTTCAATTGCAGTTTCAACCTCCCCATGGGAGTGGTTTGTCAGTGTGGCCTTATTAAGGAAGAGAGTTTATTGGGTAGCTTTTGTTATGAAAAAAATGAGTGTAGCTCTGTTCTGAACTTCATGTCTTTTTCAGTTTGATTGTCTACACGGACATCAGGGTGATGGTTTTCAAGAAATACCTAGGGACCCTTTCCCCCAACCCAGAGCTAGAAGAGGTGAGGACAATCATCCAAAGAGATTGCTTTGGATGAACCAAGCTCAGCCAACAAGCTAGGCAGCTGTTTGCTCACTCAGATCTATCCATGGTAACTCACAGCACGTGTGCACTGAGATCCTTAAACTGTAAACAACAGCAGCTAGAATCTGTGGTCAGCTTATGCTGCATTCTAAAAACTCTGCTTTCATTTGCATATGACATCCATTACAGGAAGCATCATCATCAAAGGCACAAGGAGGAAAATAAGTGCAACTTGACCACCACCATCCCATTTAGGTTGAGGTTTGTGGTTGGTTTGGTTTGATTTCAAGGAAGCCTTACTCAGTTCTAAAATGTATAGACACCAGGGATACATCCCAAATCTAAAAGGCAGTCTTACAAGCTGTTATAGCCCATCACACTCAATGGGAACTACTTTTTGCCAGTTAAGGTTGACCAACTTTCTATTAACCATGCTGGGGAGTATGTAAGAACTGAGGCTAATGGGATATTGACAGAATCCCCAGAATAATCACTGGAGTCAAAAAAATTTCAAAAAACTAACTATTCTTGTCAGCTCAATTTTTTAAGCAAAGCAAGAGCAATGATTCATTTGATTTTTATATGATTTTTATATGCTGGTTTTGGAGACATTGTGGGTACAGGAAACAAAGCATTGAACAAAGAAAACAGGCTGGCCAATAATGGAGGAAAAGAAGGAAAATAGTCACAAAAAATTGTTGCTTGCTTCACTAAGAGGGTCCTTCAATCCCTCCCTGCTTCACTCCCACATAAAAGAATTAACAGCTAGAAAACCCCCATTCTTTTTCAAAGTATTTGATTTAAAAACCCTAACCAAATTTCACAGGTTTTTCCTGAAATAAAATAGATTCATTCCTGGCCTTAAGTTATATGTGAATGCTACAGTTGGCTTCCCAGACTCAGAATTCCAAAAATGTAAAACTGTTCCTGTGCAGGCAACAAAGGAATGTCCATACTTTTGCCATAACAAAAGAGAAACACTGTCAATGCTTTCTTCCTGGGAATAATTGTGAACAGTTGAACTTTAAAGCCAAATGTGAGATTCACATATTTCAGGACTTGGTCCTTATGTTTATTTTTTTTAGAAACTTCTGGTTTGCTACATCTAGTGGTTTGTTGCCTTTTCTCTCACCTTGCTATCTCTGGTGGCTTTCCCAAAAGATTCTAAAGCTAAACACCCGGGCACTTTTACCCTTTTCAATTACCTTGAGCCTTGTTTTCCTCTACAATATTCTTTATGGTAGGGATGGGATGAGGAAGTGCTCTGGAGGCATGAGGACATCCCTGGTGATTTTAAGACAACTGAGTGAAGACAGTTCAATGCTTAGACCCAGTTATGTGGTACTACTCAGGCCCAGCAATGCTGAGAGCTATCAAGGCCACCCTGCAATGCTCAGAGGTGTGTAGGAGGAGGGTCACGAAGTTCCAGGAATAGAACTTGGGTTCTTAGGAATGCAAGGCATGTGCCCTGATTTCCAAAATATCTCCTCAGTTTATTCAATGTTATGTATGCCTGGAATTTTGAGAACATCTTCTACATCATTACTATGGCTCTCAAATGCCCAATGGTGTTCCCATTAGTACAGGGGGATTTGGGACAGATACAGTGTGGTAAAAAGTAACACTGAGGACTGGAAATATTAGTTCAATATTTTGCAATGGGTCACCTTAGTCGCAAACAACCAAACCATAGGATTGCCATCAATCATAAAGAAACATAACATGAACGTCTTTCCTACCCCAAATACTAAGCCTTTCATCTAGTCTTCATTAGCCTCACACAACATGCCCATCCAGGGCATTTACCACACTATTTGCTGCCTTCTGTAGTTACTCCACCATCATCGCTAAAGAAGATAGACTAAAAGTCCCTCTCAAGATGGCTTTCAGAGATGTACTACTGCCATTATCACTAGTATGAATACTAATTATAATGATTTCTGAAGGTGGAACACAGAAAGGAGTTCATGGGAAGTGAAGCTGACCTCCAGGAAATAAGTTTCTGAATCAAATGGTTTCTACCATCTCTTTTTCTCCATTCCAACCTTTAGTATCAGATGGTTCTACTATCTGAACGATAAATGACTTATCTAACCAATAATAAAGAGAATCATTCCCAGGAGAGGAGGTTAATTCATAGGTAAAAGTGATTTGCACTTGCTGGGTATTCATCACATACTTGTGATTCAAATGCTGAGGTAGGGAACAAGTAATTCAACCCAACAGGAAGCTTTGCTGTTGTCTCCTCTTCTTTGTCTCTTACTTGGGCCTCCCATCTGGCCCCAACATGCTCATCCATCCCAACTTTCATGAACTACATCCCTAAGCCAACAGTTCACCCCTTAAGGACACAAGACCACTGGTGCAAAATAGTTCATGTAATTGATCCATTGATCTGGAGACTTTACTATGAATACACAAAGACAGATAAAATTCTCCCAGGCCCTTCCAACAGGACTTTCACTTAACATCCATTTTAATTCTCTGCAAAATCTAGATCCCTCTGTACCTATCAGTGTGAGCAGATCAAAGACCTATTCTTGAAAAGATGAGTTTCCTGGTCAGAGCTGTGTTCTGGCAGTACATCCTCCATTGTTGCCAAGCCTGTAATACAATGGTGAGCTTTCTCTTAAATAGAATTTGACATGGCCAGAATTAGAAAGAGGTGAGTTAGGTGCCAAGGGTGCAAAACTGAAGGAGGCACCCACTCTCAGGGCCTTGCAAGTGCCTTATCCTCGTTCTGGCCCTGTGATTTGCACTCTATAATGTAATACCAATTTACCCTCTTCCTATGAACAAGTATAATTCTGATTTGGGAGTGGAGGTAGGTAACTCCCTATCTTTTTTGACAATGTTACCAAATGTTTTATTGGCACCTATTCTTCCCATTGCTATTAGCCTTTGTTGCCTACACATTGGGGAATCCTCAATAATTTTTTCATGTTTTTCTCATGTGAGATGGGTAATGTGCCAATGTTACAAGGTTTAGGGGAAGTGTGTGTAACAAAGCAATTTATGAACCACTAAAGAATCACTAAAGGATTCTAAAGAATCACTAAATAACCACTGAAGAATCAAGGAATCCTTGTTTTATTAGGAAACACAGTTGTCATCTAAATAAACTGTGCCAAGTTGCAGGTAGCATCCATATCAGTGGGGAGGCCCTTTAGCAAAATGGTGGCTATATTTAAGGTCTGTTGGTGTCTCCTTTCCTCTTCCCTCTCAATTCTCCCTGGACATTGTTTCACAGAATCAACTCTCCTGAGTGCCTCCTACTTTTTCCTTCTCACAAACAAAAGCATACTCTCAAAAATGAGATCCTTTGCTTTGAGATTATAAGGCTTAATGCTACCTCTTTTGAGGGCCACTTGCATTTTTATGGGGGATCCTTAAGCCAAAGTAATGATGGTCTACTTGTAGAATTTTAGGTACCACCTAGTAGCAAAAATGTATTTTTCACCCCGAAAAGACCAAATACCCTGACAATGAACTCCAGAATATCGAAGCTATTTCTCGGAAATATCTCAACAAATTGTTAACATCAATTAAAGTGTTCTGATATTCAGTACTATTCAATATGGTTACTACCAAGGGACCCTCAGAACTGACTATTAAAAGGCACTGAGGAAGCCTAGATAATTCATATGGTACATTAATATTTTACACCAATGGAATTAAGACTACTTTCATTTGAGTAAAAAAGACATGGAGGTTTAAAGAGTTTGTGAAAATATGTCCTGTTTGTAAAAGGTGAAATTGTTCAATGTTCAATCAACGTAGGTCCTCTGGTATTGATGGTGATGGTTCAACTCACTAGATGTACAACTTTACTGAACACAAGCTTCTGCTCCCTGCTCCCCTTCTCTGTGTTATGTGCTACCACTTCAGCTTGGTGTGAGAATGAGAGAAAGCTATAATACCAGAGCAATTAGTCCTTCCAAAACCTTTGCAAGTATTTCATCTCAGAAGTGACTAAAACAATAGAGATTTAAAGTGGTAAGAGAGTGAGAAAGAGGTTCAAAGCTCTGCCTCTGTCAAGGAGCAACAAAAATTGTAACAATGATTTGAGATAAAGTTTTAGAATTCTCTGAAACAGATCTTTCGTTGCAAATAGTTATAGATACATATTTGAAGCAATTGTAGTAAGTTTAGCAAAAAGAACTTTGCATAAGTAAGAGGTTTCTTGAAAGAGGTATGCATTTTTTTTTGCAGTAAAGCCCAAAGTTTAGAAAAGTGCTTCTCACAGTATGATTGCAGGACCACCAGCAGCAGCTGCCGCCACAGCCCTGGAACCTGTGTGCGCGGGCGCACACTT